ACGTAAAACTGAAAACTTGCCCTAGCAGTGCTTTACAGGCATCAATATACGTAATGACTTGACTAACCTCCAACGTTGGGGGTTGTGTACGGGGCGGAGGTGGTGTAGAGGTGATATCACCCAAGCGTGGTCTTGCAATCGAATCCTAGATCGATATCCTCTCAGACTTACCGATCCTTCCATCCGTCTCGCAACGGTTGATTGATACCGAATTCGTCCGATGTGGCAAAAGTACTGGATTTGTACATCGTTTGGCTAACACATGTACGGTATAGGAAACACATGCACTCAGTAGCTACGATTCTGAATGGGAGTTGAGTGCAGAAGCGCGTTCCAAACCGAAAAGGTTCAACGCCAAGAGCCTCTAAATTTGTATGATGATGTCGTTAAACAGTTTACTGGTCCTAGTTCGTCGAACTTAGTGTAACTACCTGTTTGGCTTTTTCACTCATCCACGCGCACTCATTCAGGGCACCACAGCGAAAATGCAACTGATAACTACAGATGTATTTCAAAGATGGAAGTAATTTTTTTGCAGACTACCCGAGGTCTCGTCACGACTACATGAACTTTGCATTTTTGTTGTCAAGTGCGGGCCCCTACAAGTGATCTCACCGTTAAGAGAGGATACCCTCGATAGAGTGGTTCAATGCGTATTTCACGTATTTCATCTGATGTGTCTGTTCCAATCGTTAGGATGCCCTGCTCACCGATAGACCAGATCATTCGTTAATGGTGTACGTATATAAGCATCCTGTCCTGGGGAAAACTCTCCTTTATTCGCCTCTGCCGTGATCAGAAGAGCGTATTCAAAGACATACAACATTTCCCAAAAGCAGAAAGCTTTGAAAAACTCCTCTTTCAAAAAAAATCTATCGCAATTTTATGCACTCATAAATGTGGCAATTTAGAGCGGTCGCGAAGCTTCACTACTTGCTCTAGGATGGGAAACGATCCACGAACTTGCATTTTTCGCTTTGGATAAACTGCTGCACTAACGCTAAACACCTTATTTTGTATAGGACCTAGTTATCGACCATTTCTTCTTCAACGAAAGTTATTGATGAAAATCTTGTCCGACTGAAGGGAGCCATTCAATTTACTTGTGGAATAATGATGGGTATGCATGTAGGGCCCGTGGTAATGTCCTCATGTAAGTTGCCAGTTGTTTTGAGGGCAGGCGATGCACAACGTTTTACCAGAATTTGGACAACGATCCTTAATTGTTTTTACTCGGTTATTTGTCACTTGCAAACCCTATTATCTTTCCACATGCTCCCATTCCGATGTATATGAGACCTATAATAATGATTGGTAAGGGCGAGGCATCAACAGATATCCAGCCGCACTTTCCATCATTCTTGATAAAGATAGCAGCAGTGAGCAAGTAAGAAAGGGGAAGTATAGTCATGTCATTGCTTCTGATCAATCTAGTTACCCGTCTTCCTTTTGTAAGAGGGATGTGGTTTTAATGACCTTATTCTACTCAGGTTTAGCGTGCACAAATCCTTCTGATGGCGCACATATAACGCCCTGCTTAAAGGATTCTGGCGAGGATCCCTAGTCAGGGCACTCTTGCTTCAACTGGACACAGTCTTTTAGATTTAACTAATAGCTGTGGCATGTCTGAGAAGTTACCTGATCATCCATTCATAAGGGAACCATTAAGTGAAGTCGTTAGATGAGTACGACATAAAAATTTTTTTTTTCTAAGTCATTGATGAATTCTTGAAAAAAAAAACGCTATAGCTAGAGGTGAGAGCGTATGAATGATGTTTTTCAGCTTTCTCTACTGTTGTGTTCACCAGGGTAACTCATCCGAGAGAAAATCACGAGCAAAGCATCACTCGAAGTCTATGTATGTAATTCCAACAGGAAAAAGGGTGGATCCATCCAGATGCAGCGTAAGACGGATGGAATTTGTGAAGCCCGTAACTAGGCCGTGTCGATTAGCGATTCCTATTTGATGGATGACTAACGACTGCCGAAACAATGTGTATGATTTATCGCATTACCACTACATGAAATAAATGTAACATTTTCGAGCACCATATCAAATATGACTGCCACAAATACTTGCGATTTTCGATCCACTGCTTGGTTGGCTAAGTGGATATCAAGGAGTTGAGAGACTGGATACCGGTCACAAAATACCCACCCCTCTAGTTCCACTAAATCTTTCATCACTTCGGAGTCGGTTTATTCGTACCAGACTAGTCTGGGATAGTAAAAATGTCAGTTTGGGCATCGCTTGGCTGCATGGCATTACATAGTACAAACGCCAATACGACCCTACGATTCTGAATGACAGTCGAATTTAATGGCTCATTCCGAAATGGTATTGACATTCCAACGCTAGAAGGCTTAATTTTTTACACACTTAACTTTACGTATACATTATCTTTTGATCTTAATTATGCTAGTGGTTGCCAGTAAATGCGTATGCGCTGGCTACCTTAGAGAGTCTCCAGGAGTATCAGTTTTACTAACTGCCGAAAAACTTTTGTTCATAAAAAGCACATTCAAATTGCTTACCATCAAACTCAAAAGAAGTGAGGTGCCATCAAGTAGAACAGTGTGAGCTACAGGGTACATAAGTGCTGGTATTTCTTTCCGAAATACTACGAAAGCGGTTGCGATTGTGCAGGGACTACCGTATCCTTTCAAGGAAGATAAAAAATTCCCTTCATACGAATCATAACGCGCGACTGCGCGCGGCCATCGGATGCGGTGGGAGCGACGCGATTCTCGGGGAGAGCTCACTATTATCACACCCCGGGATAGAGCACAGCAAAACCTGACCACATGTAGGCATTTTCTCCTGTACTCCTTACAACTAGCACATAAATTCCACTCTGGTTCAATAATGATACAGCCGCAATTAACCTTGCCGCTTACAATCCAATCACTTCTTCTGTCCTTCTCATCTACGCTATACCAATTTGATTAGAGATCCATCCGAGAGGCCGTCTTGGAACGATTCAACTTCACCACCATACCCCATTCAAAGTTCACTCGGTCGTACATGACGTCATATCATATGGCAATGACCCGAAAAGGCAAAACAGGGAAAGCTATCGTCGAAAATGACGTGGTCGTGATGACCTTCGGTCACTGACAAGACGTTTGATCACTGAGAATCTCCTCGTGTTTGAATGTTGTTGGACCACGTGTTCAAAGTTGGCTCTCAAAGATTACTGCAACATGAGAACGTGCATATAGAAAGTAAACTTTGAGAATAGCTCACAAGTTGCTTTAAATCAGAAGTTGCGGTGGACAGCAGTGAGGGGGAAAACTCTCAAGAATACCTATTGAACCTGCCAGATCGAATCTCCTCGTTAGAATCAAAAAACGTGCTGTGGAGGCTTTCCAGACCTATCTGGGCTCCTGTTCAGATAGGTAGTGCAAAATGGGTCCATAACTGATCTTGGTATTCGAAGTGAGCTAGAGCCATTCAGTGAATGTGTCCAGGTGGCATTCAAACTTGCGGGCTGACATATTCTCACAGCTGCTTGAGAAGTTCAAGAAAACCTATTGAACCTCTCAGATCGAATTTCTTCGTAAGAATCAAAAAACGTGCTGTGGAGGCTTTCCAGACCTATCGAGGCTCCTGTTCAGATAGGGTAGTGTAAAATGGGTCCATAGCTTCTTGGTATTCGAGGTGAGCTAGAGCCATTCAGTGAATGGGTCCAGATGGCATTCAAACTTGCGGGCTGACATATCTTATTCTCACATTCTCACAGCTGCTTGGGAAGCTTAAAGTTACCAGGGAATGGGAGGAGGAGGAGGAG